AACCGTGAAGCGGCTTTCTATTGATAAAGACACTTTAAGGGGCAAAAACACATACTCTTAAATGTCTTACTTTGATTCCTAGAACAAGTGCGGATTTGATTCCCAGGGCGTTGGCGAGTGCAGCCTCAGCACCTTTCGGGAGTGGAACAAGGAGTGCACCCTTCCCCGCCAGATGCACCATGGGAGGCAAATGAGAGTATAGATGAGTAACTGTTGTGTCACCTTTGCATACAAAAACGAGACGGAGCGATGTGTCCGCTTGAGGTTCGAGCAGTCTTGTAACCTTATTGACACCAAGTACAATTGAGTCCATGATCTCTTTGCATACTTCATCATCGATAGGAGGTAGGTCTGTACTGAGTTTGACGCGCTTCGAGGGAGTATTAGGTGCGTCGGAACTTCGTTTCTTCGAGAGCTTCTTTTCGAGTGCTTTCTGCTCGCTGCGGATTGCCTCCTTCTGAGCCAGATCAAGACTCGTCAAATCGGTTGCCTTGATGGTTTTGAGACGGTTTTCAGCAGCGGTTGTTTGGGCTTCGGCGAGCTGGAGTCGTTCATCATCGCGACGTTGCGCCTGCTCATCCGTTCGGGTCTTTAGTGCAGCGGCGCGCTTCGATCCGACTGGTTCGAGGAGAGAAACGAGAGAAGTAAGGAGCATTGAAGACTCTCCTTCGGTAAGCGAATGCCTTTTGTCAGACCCCGTCAGCGCACAACAGCCCTCTCTTCTGACGCCTCACCATTTATACTCGAACGGGGTCCCCAGCACTGTCTTTTGCTTGGTAGTTTCTCCGCTCTTAGGATATTCCTTTGATGCAATGACCTTCTTTCCCATTCTTTTTTCTTTTCTTCACAACTTCCCTCTTGCTTGCCTCGTCGCGAATAATCAGATAAGAAAAAAAGGAAATCTGCTATAAGTGGTCCTTCGCAATTTATTATCGACTTAAACCTTACAGCCGTCTGAGATATGCATAGCTTGCTCTCTCGGTTGATGATCATTGTAGTGTTGATTGATCGCCGATGATTTTGGAGGGAATATCACTTAGCCATTTGCGATATCGTCTTCCTTCTTTTCGGCAATGCAACATGGCAAGACGGTTGATGGTGGAAAGGTGCTTATCATTTTGCACACGGGTCATTTGTTGATTTTATCGGCATTGCTCCTGAGCCGTCAAAATGATATGAACATGATAGGAATAATAACTTATTGCAGAGTCAAAACCAATCTTCCCCCTTGCTTATTCTTCCCTTTCAATACGATGGGATGCGTCCATGAGACAAGCGAACGTAGTCAGTCATTTCTTCCGACCTGTTCTCTGCCATACACACGTTAGTTCATGTGAAAAAGAAAGAGAACTGCTTTCACAGGAGCGTTCAAGCACATCCATCAGTCAGCAAAATTTTATGTTGAAGTAAAGCGCATGACGCCCTTCATCCCGCTTAGAATCATGAATGGTGGTTATACAATTAGGTTTGTGGATAGATCGTGATTCTAAGAGTCCAAGGAACTATGCACGAACTTGAGGGGAAAACGCAATGGCCTCGGCGTGAGTTGGACATACGTGGTAAACGGGTCTGCATCCTTTGGAACGCGATTTCTTGTACAGCAAAGGAGTTCAATGGTAGCCTACATGTCTTTGTGGAGTATTCAGGGCCAAGCTGAAAGTAATACGGGCCTCCACCAATTTTTACTGTATACGTTTAAGCATAATTTAAAGAAATTATGGCACGAATACTCGCAGGTCTTTCGTAAGCATTGTACTCAATGCGGGATATCTATTCGGACACGATACGATTTTATTTTCTTGTTTCGTTCAAATGAGATGTGATGACGAGGATTGACAACGGATTTCGGCATCCATTGTGTTGACGAACAATCAAGCAACCACCTCGTTGGTGGCTCTCAACCATCTCGTTGGTGTCTCATAACCGTCTCATCGGTCTCTTGCCGATCTTGTTGGCCTTCCTAGATGCTTTCCCAAACATTTCAATTTCCGCTTTTTGCAACAATAGTTCTTGCTGCACCAATGCGAAGACTCGACGATCGGACTGGGCGGATAATTCAACGTGATTTTCCAACAATAAGCTACCACGGCGGCCCGCTGATATTGAAGCCTGAAGTGTAAGTCATATTTACACTTCTGCCTGACTTTGGCTAACAACTTGATACCAAGACATCCAATTTACGATGGGGACTACCCTAAAGACACAACAGCTGACGTACAACAGTTTTACAATTTTCTCACCAAATCTGCAGTCATGGACCACCTAAGTAACATTGATACGTTCTATATAGCTTTCTCATTTTGCCCAGTCGCTGAATACAGTGTTCCTGGCAAGAAGATTTCGTATGGCACTGTTGCGATCCCTCTCAACATTTCCACAAATTTGGTTGACAGATGACAAAAATTTCACCCAGCCATGCTCAGGGACTTGGTTGTTTCAGAGCAGATCTCTCCGACAGAAAGCACATATTATCCAATATATCTTCCACAGGGAGTCAATGCATCATTAGGATCTGCCGTTGCATGTGTGGACTTTTGTGGTGAATTACATGTGAACTTTGTGAAGGTAAGCACGTCATCGCTGACATGAAAATATTGCAGGATATCATGGAACAATAGATATATCAGATATTCCAACTGCTAAAATAAAATATTTATACTACGCAATCATACCTGATCAATCTGGATGGTGTATGGGTGGTTGTGGCGAGTCACTGGATCCCTTTCACAATATCTGTGGGTTATCAACACACGAGTTCGCAGAAGCTGTCACGAATCCTGCCATCAGTGTGGCTACCGGGCTTGCTCCACCAGTAGGATGGTACGCGGCTGGATTTGGCGAAATCGGGGACTTGTCAGTTGAGCTCGATACATTGCTGCTTGTTTGTTAAGAGACAATGCACAGATGCACTATGATGGAAGGAGAGCTGACTGACCCCATCACAAATACTACTTGGACAGTTGACAAGTTATAGAGCAAAAGTCGTGGAGCATGCATAGTGCCCAACGCACAAAATATCAACTCGAAAACTTCAACATCACCGCTTACACCCACAGCTTCAAACAATCAATCTAAAAAGTCTAAAAAGAATATTACTACCGCAAAAAAGGTCCATCCTCTGATGTCGCGCCCCACCCCCTTCCCTCACGAAAAAGTACACTGCTGATTTTCAATTGTCACAGTCTCCACTATGGCAAACTAATAAAAATATTATATTTTGAAAGATGACCAAAATATAAAAAAGTCAAAGCTGTGAACAAAATTTGGTTCAAAACAGAATCACATTTGATAGAAACTGATTACTTTTTTGAATGGAAACAGGTGTTATTTCTTTGAAAAGAAATAAAAGTTTTTAAAAAATCAATTTTTTTTTAATCTAGCAAGCAAACAAATTAGCTAAGAATCATCATCAGAAGACACTTCAAACCCAAAATCAGCCAGTAATTCACCATCATCTGTCTCAATAGCATAGATAGTGTCATGATTGTGAATTTGCATATTTTGAGGAATTTCATGCCAGAACTGCTGATAAATAGTCATCTGCAGGCAGCCTCTTTGATTCATCAGAGTCAAAATACTCTCAAATTTACTTGAGCTTGTGGCAGATAGTAGTGAACAATGCTGGGCACTCATGGAAGCAATCAAAATTGTTACAGAATAAGTAGAATGATTTGTTAAGGTAAAAAGAAGCCTGGCATATTTGAAATTCAGAAAGTTGGCAAATTGCTCCTTTTGTGTTTTGTTGTTTCCTTTATGAAATTCATCCTGAAGCTGAAGAGGTTTTGCTCCAACATTGAGTCTGTAGTAATTGATTCTGATTTCACCAGAAGCTACACTGTACAACATTTTTCAAATCTGAATTCTGAGCTTCATCGTCATTCATCATTGTTGTTCCACTGATATTGTGCCATTTGGTGTGATGCCTCTGTTTCAAAAGTGTTAACAAACTTCATGTTATTTTTTGCAAAATGGCAGTAAGAAATAGGTCCATACTTTGTCAAGAATGCCTTGGTGTGGGATGGTTATTGTGGGTGCAGCCATAGCCAGTCAGGTCATGATGCAATGTAACAGAACGGCACTTACTTGACCAGTTAGATTGTTAAGTTTGGTTTTTGGATGGTAGTGCTTAGTGGACCTGTTCTCTTATCTTGTTATTGCTTGGATGGCACTAGACCTTTGAGACAGCACTGCAGTTAGCTTGGCTCTTGGATGGTTGTGTTAACACTAATGTAACTCTACTATGACACTTGTTACTGTGTTGGTGGGACTGTGGAACAAGAGTGCACTATGTTACAAGCTTTGTGGTGTACTGATGGAACTTGCTTGGTGACTGCTAAGACTGCAAGATGTTATTTACTTGCAAGGCAATGCTACGCATTGCACAGATGGTGTTACATTTCAGGTGTGGAAGTTTTGATTGTACAGTTGATTGAATTGTGCTATTCAGTTTCTGATTTTTTTTTAACTGATTGGATAGGCATAGGGGTGACTGGTGAGGTGCTTGTTATTGTCTATTCCTCTGCACAAATAATTAATCAGCAAACTTGGTAGCTGCACTTAAAGAAACAGAATTTTGATTGGACCTGGTTTCATTCCTTGTCACTGTTTCATGAGGGTTTGTGTCAGTAGTAGGAAAGTTGTCCATGGAGGAATGAGTTGGAGATGAGGTTGGTGTTGGAAGCTGATTTTGATGTATCCACAACCCAAATGCTACAAACTGATTGAAAGCCAAAGTTCATCAAATAACTTCAAATCATCCACCTCCAAACTTTGCCTTTTAGAAACGAGCAAAAATGTCAATTTGCTTTATTTCAAAAGTTGGCTGCCACACTTGTGCTACTCTCTCCACAGTAATGCTGTCACTGCATCATGCCAACCCAAAAAATTGCTAAATGGGTAGATGAACCTAGCATCATTAGCACAGTCCAGGCATATCATTAAGTTCCTTGCTTCATATCCACGAGTTACATCAATCTTGTCAAAAGAGAGCAGATAGCATGAGCCTGATAGTATAGTGGTTGTATTCTGCTTTTGGGTAGCAGAGGTTGTTGTTCAATTCAAGAGTTCATGTGATAAAATAATTATTCAGCCAAGTTCAACAAGGTATTGAGCTTCTATAAACAATACCTGGAATCCAGCCAAAGTATTGGCAAAAACTTCTGCCATTCATTCTCCAGATAGTCTTCACTTTCATCATGGCCTATTTTCATGAAAGAAAAAAAAGGATTTAAAAAGCAGAATGCTGCCATATATAGTTTTTTTGAAAGGGGTCACATGATTTCTTACATCATTCTCTTGATTTGAAAGGATTTCATCTGGTTCCTACAGTGTAAGTGTGTCAGTTGTGGTCATAAAAAATTCATAAAACTTACCTTCAGACCAATGCCAGAATCATGATAAGGATCAGCACTATAAACTGCTATAAAAAGATATTAAAGAGTCCATAGACATAGAGAGCAAATAATATCACTGGCAAATGTCCATTATCACAGGGCAAACCTGGATGTTCTTTCTCAATGAGAAAACAAAGAATCATTTTCAGCAATGGAATCATCAATAGCATTGAATTTGCCTGGACAATACTCTGATGCGGGGGGTAAAAGAGTCGCAAGTTTGGGCTTTTTTGCTTGACGAAGCGATTCATTGGGAATCGACCACATTGGTCACTGGCTGGTTCGCACTCAATAATGCTGAAGGGGGTTCATGCAATGCTGGAGAATAAATCAGCATCTGTGACTGTATTGATTTGAGACTCTTACCATTTTGACGCCGCAGCTCAGCATTCTTCAACTGTAAGCGCTGTGTCAACAGCCTGCGCTTTTTCACTTTGAACTCCTTCTACTTCTTGCTTAGTTTCATGTTGCCTGCATTCTGCGCGAGCCACTCCATCAAATTCACGGAGAATTATAAATTTTTGTGACTTTTTTACATTTTGGTCATCTTTAAAGTATCATATTTTTTATTAGTCACTGAAGTGGAGACTGTGTGACAATTTAAAATCAGTAATGTACTTTTCTGTGAGGAAAGAGGTGGGGTACGTTCAGACAAAAGTCTCCAAGCATACCTGAGGACATATTTATCGATGGTTTGGTTATTTATTCTTTTATATTTCAAAGCAAATCCTTTTTATTGGACTGAAATATATCGTGACAATTTGGAGTGATTGGCTGCAAAAACTAATATTATGTTCTTCATCTATTCACAGAAACGTGCCTGGCAGCTCTGCCAGATGGCTTCGGGTTTTGGGAGCAGCAATTGTGCCAATATTGAGGTTTTTGTATGTTCATTGGAACAGCTAATGGTCTCATCGAAATTGACATGTTTGTCAGCATCATTGTTGCCTCAACATCCACAACAAGAAGCCATTTTTGGAATTAGAACGGAGCCACTGAACAAAGGCCACGAAGGAGGACATGAGCGGAGTTTAAAAAGAGGAGATAATTGAAGACTTGAAAGGAAGAGGGAAATGAAGAAGTGGAAGAAAAATGTTGAGGTGACTGAGAGGAAAATGGTTGGGAATGGATCAACGTGAAAATCATCAAAAAAACAAACTTGGAGCGATGTTGCTCACGGAAGGAGAAGCGGATCTGTTGCAAGTACATCTGGAGGGCGTGCTGCAGCGACTGTGAGCATGTTTTATGGACGTGTGTGGAGCCCCGACCGCTGACGAACCGCCACTTTGCAGATGCGATGCGGACTCTGTGACGATGGCCGAGTACGTTGTCGCACTGCTGAAGCACGACAAGAGCGAGACCGAGCTCCGCGCGTTGTGCTTTGAGCAGTTGGAGGAGTTTCTGCGAGACGGTTTGTTTTAGTTGCTGACACCAGCCAAACCCAATCCATCGATTAAATACGTCAATGTCAAAGAAACGGCCGTCTTCATCGACACCCTGTTTAAAACGATTGCATCGCGCGAGTTCCTCAACAACTCAATCACCAAAGCGGCAACTGCGCAACATTCCTCCTCCACCACCACCACAGCACCCACCGCAAGCAACGCAGTAAAGAGAGCGCGTGATACACTGGACGACGAAACACCGGCAACTGCGAGTCACGGGCGACGAGACGAGGACGAGGACGAGGATGAAGAGGACGACTACAGGCGAGGACGGAGACGCAAAAGAAATGTCGACGAATACGACCCCATCAACGGACGCGATGTTGCTGGTGGAGGTGCACACGGGGGGTTGCAGGGAGTGGGGGTCGGAGAAGTACGGCCCATCGAATCGTTTTACTACGACGATCACCAGCGGGACCGCGGCGCGTTCAACAGAAATATGGGAATAGGTGAGCGTGGTGGATACCAGCAAAGACAGCCAGCACCATATGGACCGCAGCAACAGATATGGGGTCAAGGATTCGGTATGGGAGGGCAACGTAGTGGGTTTCGCGGTGGTCCACGCGGACCGATGGGAATGAATGGTATGGGAATGCATCAAGGCGGAGGGATGATGGGAAGTACGATGATGATGGGTGTCGGCATTGGGATGAATATGGGGGGAGGTCCGCCGCGCATCCGAAACCGCTGCTTTGAATTTGATGGTACGTGTCATTACAATCAGGCGCGAGCGAAACAAAGGCTTAAGCCTGAGTAACATAATCGGAGTAACATTGGGGGGGCTTCGAGTTTTCACTTGTCGCGTCACGTTTTCAGTCTTACTCATATGCTGAAATAGTCCTCGAAAATATGAATACTAACAACTGCTTTCGAAAAAACAAACAAATAGGAACGGGTCACTGCTCACGTGGCGAGACATGTCGGTACGATCATTCCCCTATGCATACGCAACAGCCCATGCAAAGCGGGATTTTGCCCGTAGTAGGTCCCAACGGAATGCCCTTTGTCGGACCCGGCAGCTTCATGATGAGTAAGTGATTTGAGGTTAAGTTCCTCATCTTTCGCGTTTGATAAAAAAACGCCCAAAGGCGAAGGCGGATTGTCCATGCAACCAACCGCATTCGATGAACCGACTGGATTTTCGTATAACCCCTCCTTCCGTGGGAGAGGGAGAGGCCGTGGCGGTCGCGGAGGCGGCTACAGCAATTTCCCCAATTATCTCGCACCACACCGTCGCCCGCAAAGTGACACCTTAATTGTGGAAAATATCCCCGTCGAATCTTGCACTCTTGATACCGTGAATGAAGTCTTCAAACCGTTCGGGACCATAATTGACATCAAAATTGAGCCACATACGCGCACTGCTACGGTTCGGTATTCACGCGTGGAGGAAGCCAAGGCAGCCCACGGTAACTCGGAAGCGTACTTTGGAAACCGATTTGTGAAGGTCTACTTTGCCCCTCCGCTCGAGGAAGCTGTGCCTGGCGTCTCAGCATCGGGACAGGCGTCTGATTCGTCGGTAGTAACCGTCAGTGGAGCTCCTGGTGGTGTTCCTGGAGGTGCCATACATGGCAGTGCTGCGGCCGTGGAGGACCCACAAGGGCCGTTTTTACCTGTCCATATTGCAGCAGCACGCCGTAAGGCTCAAGTCAAAGAAGAGACACAGACCCAATACGAAACGCACCTAAAAGCGCAAAAAGACCTTCTCCAGATGCTTCTCTCGCCCGCTATTAAGCCGGACCGTAAAGCCGAACTTCTCGCTGCACTCAAAAGTATTGAAGTTCGCGTCGCTGAGGGCATGGAGAAGCTGAAACAGTTTGCGGAGGAAGAAAAGGTCGCGATCGATGCGGCGAAGGCGAGGCAATGGCCAATTTCGGCGGGACTTCGCCCTGTGAGCAGCAGTGAAATGGACAAAGCGGCCGCCGGTAGTGAATCCATGGATGGAGTTGAGGCACCAAGCGTGACAGCAGGGAGTGCCGCGGATGAGGTAGCCGAGTTGGAGGCACTGAAAGCACAAGTAAGAATGGAAAGCATGGGAAGATCATGCGAGACTCCTGAACCTTTAATTTTTTTCTTCACCAGGCCGCCGCTGCTGGTTTGGATCCTAATGCCATCACGGGTGGGGCTTTTGGAACAGGAGCTTCAGCAACGGGGTCACCTGCGACAGGAGGTCCCATCTTACGCGGTGGATTCCGTGGCAATCGCGGAGGAGCATGGCGCAGTGGTGGCCGAGGAGGCGCAAGGCCTGTTGCGTTGCCTCAAACATTCAGTTTGGACTTGCGTACCAAAAAGCTTCGCGTCCATGGAGCGAGCGGCAAGGATAAGGTTATATTGATGCAGCAGTTCCAGGTATGTATTTCTAGTTCCGCCAACATCATGGGTCGTTACGGATTATTGCTCCTTAGTTGTATGGCCAAGTAGTTAAGCTCGATTTCGATGAAGCAGGCTTGATAATCGAGTTTCAGGCAAGGCATCATGCTGAGAAGGTGAGTTCACGCTGCTCGCGTTGTGAATTTTGGTTGGGTGCCCTTTCCTCACTCAGAATCGAAGGCGCTTTCTCTCGGAGTCAAAGATGGAAACGCGGCCTCTCTCAAGTTGGAATGGCATGAGGACAGTAAATCTCCGGTTGCTGCAAATTCCGCTACCACAGCGAATGTCGCCACGTCAGTGAAAGCTGCAGGAAAGAAAGATGATGTGCTTATGGACGGCGAGTAAGCGTCGTGGGGTCGCTCTTATATTGATCCTATTTTTTATTTGGTACATCAGTTTATTTGGGCCGAGGCTTCAAAAATAAATATTAAATATGATTGGGTCAAGTAAAAGGAAAAGTTTAAAAGTTCGATGGTTGAGAAGAAATCAAGGATGGTGTATTTGCCATGGGCAGGATTGCATTAAAATCCCGCACTAGTGTATCACTTCTTATAGATCATCGAGTGTTGGAAATAGAATTGCTGTTTGCTCTTTTCATGAAGGGCGTCTTCATTAAGCCGGACCAATTAGATTGCTTGAAAAATTTTCACACACCAAAATGGAACATGAAATCTTCTTGGATTTCATCCTGTATTATGATCCTTGTTGACACCATCAAGGACTTCGGAAGGTTCTAAAAGTTCCACTGTTTGTATGGCCCTTGTGCGGATATATTCACTTGCTCCAGCATTCCCACGTTCCTACACAGATGGTGAACAGACACTTCATGATATGGTGATGAGCCTGGACTAGGGTGTCATGGGAG